TACTTATTTTACTTTATAAATGAATTTACTTTTTTTTTGGAGTAACCTCAGTGTGTCGTACTGAGACGATTGTAGCGAAAAACTTTTAGAAAAGGTAACAATACACTGTTGTTGTAAAGAGATACTTATTTTCTGTGCCAGTACTCGTTATCGTGGTCGATTGAGAAATAGTAAGATTTTGTGAAGATTAATGAGATCTCACTCTCAAACATCTAGAACTCGTTATTGTGGTACAGTTGTTCAAAGTAATGTAAATCTTGTGGGTTTTTGTTAACAATTATTTTGTGCAGTACCTATTCATTAAATTGGTCACAAAAAATAAATTTAAATGAGTATTTACCACAGATTTCGATATTCACTCATCGTTTGACGGTTTGGAAATAGGTAATCGAAAAAATATCTATTTTATACTATACTTATCTATGAAGTATGGTTATTAGTCTTTATATGTGATGGCTGTCGATAACATCATTGTAAAATCAATACATTTTATTGCTTAGCTAAGGATGTTATATATTAAATATAAATATAGTATATAATATTATAACAAAATATAAATTATAAATATTATATTTATTTATTAAAAAATATAAAAATATTTTTAAGTTTACCAATGTGGCTTGTTGGCGTGGTTAATATTTATTAAGAGTTAAAAATTTATAATTTACTTGTATAGAACCTTCGGTTAAATTTTAAATACAGCGAGTAGATAAATTAAATAATGTTGCTTTTCCGATTTCTACCATACTTTTTATAAATCTTTTTTTAATAAATTACAATTAATATAATTTAAAATATACATATATTTGTGTTCTGAATAATTTATTTACCAAACATATCAAAATGCCTTATATTATGTTGGTTTAGCAATAACGTACCTATTTAAAAGTGAATAAATTGTTCGATAGGTACTTAAAAATAAAATATCATTTTATGTACCATTAAACAGCAACTATATTATTATGAGCTGTTTCGTTACAAACAGTTATTTCGGCTACGCAAATATGTAAATTTGTAAATTACACGATGGTGGATGTTACTTACTTACTTCCTACATTGAATTGCTCTTGTATCTTGATTTAAATAGTATTAAAATGGATACATTTTATTATATTTGATCCATACTGAAGAGTAAGGATCTCTATGGGAGACGAGTATTTTCGACCTCAAATGCATAAATATTAAAGAAACATTTTTAATATACATTTAAAACATAAAGTATTAACATAATTGCATAACAGTAGAATAATGTTTTTGGTATTATAATAAGTGTTATCAATTTAATTATATTTAAAATTGATTGTATTTACTGTAGTTGGAAGATACTCAAACTGTTGAGAAATGTCATCTATAATCTTAAAAAATATAATAATTTCAAAATATAATCTTGAGAGAATAGACGAATTCCTCGCCGTTTATTATAATAATTAATTAAACCCTATAAATGCTTTAATKCATATAAAAACTTTTCAATAAAAAGCAATAATTTAACAAGTTTCTATGTTATAAGTTAAACGATGATCGCATTGTTTATTAACTCCTTAGTTGATTCAAAGCTTATTAATTAATAGAATCACCCAAGATATCTGACGCGCAAATAATGCCAAGACTCTTTATACAAATAAAACTAAAACTTAGATTTTTATGAAATTGTGGGATCAAATTATAAATAAATAATTATTAATTATATTCTACACGAAGGATGACAAGGGTAAATTATATTCACTAAACACGCTCACCACCATTTTTTCTTTAAGAATGAACTTGTTGAGATCTTGACGGGTTTTGGAATTTTTAAATATACTCAGACAATTTTTTTTAATTCTTGAATTCTTTTGAACTACTTAAAGAGTATTCTGTGGTGATAAGAACTTCGGTTTTTTTCAAATGAGTATTCCCTTTTTTATTGTAAATTATTTAGTGGATAACTTAACAGCTATACCGGTTTCTCATAATTCATAAAAAGATTTAAATTATTTCGTTATATAGGTGGTCCAAAAAAATACAATCATAATCCATAGAGTATAGCACAACGATTTTCTCGATTTCAAAATTTCAAAATTTAATGTTGTCAATTTTTGAGCGGTCAAGTATTTTTAATTATACCCTTAATTATTTAATTTATTTATTTGTAGATAAATAAGAAAAAAACTCTGAGATTCTTAATATCCATCCATAATGTTATTAAAAAAATGTGTTTTTCTTATCCACTATATGCTATTAAATGGACCCATGGACACGTTTATACCTTCAATAATTATTATATGATGGTATTTCTGATGTTATGACATTCGTATTATGACTACCTAAACAGTGAACATCGTATAACATGTCTAACAATCTAATATAAACGTGCAATTGGTTAACTTCATACCTATTTTTGACCTTAAACTATATTATATATGATATATCCCATACCATAATATTAATACAATATCAATCTACTTAGAAGTATTTATTATTGCATTCAATTGGACTGTCATTAAATTGATTATAATGAAATAAATATATATATTAATTATAAGAAGTTAAAAGTCACATTCTAAAAAAAAAATTATTAACAGGATACTAAGAATAGGTGTTTTGCTCACCTTGGAGCAAGTTAGTGTAGTGCCGTTTGTATTATTATATGTTTAATAAATTTGAAAGCAATGACAAAGCATCGCATTAAAAAACAATACTGAACGAAGTTCGGTTAATTTAAGTGGTTGTGTAGATTTTGAAATTTTAAGTACTCATAAAAAAAATATTGGTAAGGAGTTTTAAAGTTTAATAAATATATATTATAGCTAAAATATAATGTTGAGTAACCTTGGATAAAAACTGCAAGTCTTAGTTGGTATAATATGAAATTACAATATGTCTTATCATAATATAAATTTACAAGTAAATTAAAGTCTGATAAAAAAAATACCATAACTCATAGACCATAACCTAATACATTTCTATTTCGTTTATTTAAAAATAAAAATATTATTCAAACATTTTTCACTCAACTACCTATTTTATTTAATAGTAGTCAGCCAGTAGCACTAGGCTAGTGCACTTCGTAGTCCGTTAAAAAATCTACTTTTTATAGTCTCAAACTGTGTGTTAAATTCGTTTCCTGTGATTATGCTAGTAGTATATTGTTATGCATACCTATATAGATAGATAACGGTTAAAATATTCTAAGTAATAATCTTACAACGATATTAAATTTAGTTTATCATAATGTAATTTTATTCGTTTTATCGAAAAAAGTTTGACAATTCATGTATTCAATTGATTGATATTTATTGATAGTAGTTTTATTATTTGAGCCTATCATTTTTTAATTTGGCCTATCTTCTACCCATAGCCGTTTAGGATTTCATAAAGGACAAACAGAAAGAAATCCATTTATATTTATATATAGATGTTATGAATAATAAGGAGTTCAAAGTTGTGTTCAATATTATCATCCGATGATCGAATTAAATACCATTCACTCATTATTTTTGTATGTTAATTTCTTTAACTCTAATATATTTCAAGCATTCTCTAAGTTTTTTCCAACGCTTGAATATTGTAAATATGTTACAGCTTCCCTAATGCTTTAAAAAAATATAAAATTTGAATTGAGAAACATTAATTTTAATAAAATTAGGTCCTGTTATAATAGATAAGTTTATTTATTATTGTAATTTAATAACACTAAATGAAAAATGAACAACTAGATCTTATCAATAGTTGTATAATAYTGAAATACAATCCTTATTATAATTTAGACTTTAATATATAGGTAGTTAGTTAGAACATAGGATGACAGAAAATATGCAGATTACTATTTTGATAAATATTAATTTGGAAAACAGAAAAAAAAAAAATTCCATCGGGGCATTCCTTTTCCCATTACTTCGAACACATATTAAACATAATAATATGTACAATATTAAGTTATGTAATAATAAAAAAAACTACATTTTGGTTTTAACTTTTAAATATATTCATGGACCCAACCTAACCATCTCTCTTAAAAATATTCACAAAACATTTATTTTACTTTTAAAAAACTCAAAAAATAATGCTCACCAAAACTGGCGAACGTAAGTTAATTTAATCTGATGCCAAACATTACCTTATCATTTATATTATGATAAATTGGTTTCTATAGTCTACGGATTCTGATTTCTATTTATGAAAGCTCATTGGCAGTAAGATTGTAATAGGTTTCATCAAATCAGTGGCTATATTATTTATAATTTAGGATGGTATCATACAATAATAGATCGAAATTAATTGGATAGGCGAAACTATTTAAGCTTATACCAATAAACTAATGAAAATAATTAACTTAAGTTAGGTWAATTTAAGAGAATACAAGATTAATGAACATTACAGTTTATTTCAGCTTTCAAAAACACGTCCTCAATTCCACGAAATAGATAGTAAAGTCGAAAAATATAATACCTATTTCAGGCTGCATTACGGTATAATGTACTTKATACCACCGGACACCTCTCCCGAATGGACAGAATTTTTATGTGTCGGAAAAAATACATCTGTCTATAACTGATACTTTTAATGGYCGAGTCGTCCAGAGACTGTTCGTTATATACAGGTTTCAATATTTTGGATCACCATAATATTACCTATACCTAATACGTATTGGGTTTTTATACAGCGATTAAACAATTACATTACGTAAAATATATTGATAACATTTCGAACGTTTAATATTATTAATAAGCATCTAACGACTTTTACTGGGACATGCAGTCACAAATGCATACCGTTTAATCACGTATGCTCTTAATCTTAGTCATCATTCGAACGTTCGCGAGAATGTTAAAAAAAAAAAAAAAAAAAAAAAAAGATAATACATCTAAAACACGTATTTACAATACATTTGGGTGAATACAAAAAATAGAAAAAAAACAAATCTGTCATCGTATATGCGTTGCCATGGCTATGCACGGCGCCGGGTCTTGACGGGTGACCGGCGGAGCAGTATACCGCTGGCTATATACCTACCTACTCGCTGTTTAGACAGTGGCGCGTAGTCAGAATTGAACGGCTTGCCGAAACGCACGTTCGCCGTTCCAGTGTACGTACATTTCGCGCAATCTCGGCTTTCGTTTCCGACGAATATTTTTTGATATCGTTGATTTTTACGTTCTTTCTTTTTTTTTTTTAATTTTTTTTTTCAACCGAATAGTTTCGTTCCCGTCAATACAATTCCTTCCGACTGGGTATTTTTCAACGTACCTATATGCGTGCAGTAGTGTGTGACTAAAACGAATCGAAATATTCATCATCGTAATATCAGTTATCGCATATAAACTATTTAAATACGATAAAAAATATTATAAATATTATACTATATACATAACGAATACTATCCATACATTGTACAAACGTTTTGGACTGATGCATCAATAGCCGCCGAAACAATTTTGAATAATTTCATCAAGGTACCTACATCAATTTTCTATGAAGTTTATTGAACTCCATAATATTAAGAGTAATTTATTGAAGAATAATTATATATAGAAGACAATTAATTTGAAAACAATAAGAGGGCTAATGACCCAACCAATATGTATATATATGCACAATACAGTTCATTAAAGTTTTTAATTTAACTTCAATTTTAACTATGTATAAGAATAATCTTTTCTATTCATTTCTTTTTCAGCCCAAAACATTATTGTAGTGATTTTATATAATATTMTTTACCCTAAATTTTTATAATCATTTAAATATAAGATGATTACTAATTTATTTCATTATTATTTATACAGTCTTACTTATAGATACAGTAATAGGTATATATTATTATAGTTACATTAGTAATGCATGTAAATATTTGTTTTAAATTAATCGTTTGACCATAATGAGTAATGAATCATTGTTAAATACTAAATGAGAATGATAATTATGATAAAATATGAAAAACTGAAATCCAATAACATATCATTGTATCAAATACGAAATGGTGAAAATATAAAGAATATAGTCTATTATAATATAGACTTTACATTATACCTATATCAATAAACCAATATATTTTATGGTTTCACATGACCTAAATCTGCATGATATAGTATTCAAAACATTTAGATATTATTGTTATTGAATGTAGTTTTCGTGTTTTGTGAAAATTCATCGTAATTTCTCTTTGGTTTTCTCTGAAAAAAAACTTCTTAATTTTGGCTCTGCGTATAATACATTTACAAGTTTTTTTTTAAATTTAGTTTCAATTATTATAAAAATCTAAATAATAAAAAACAGTTATATGTCTAAACCTATAATGTTTCTCTTTATATTATAACTGCAGATTGTAATTTTATAAAATTTAAATAGTAAATTATAGAATTTTCATGTAACATTTAAGCTTATAAGTCGTTCAATATTATTAGCAGATATTTAAGAAAGATTGTTTTTGAGCCAAGTTCTATAAAATTAACTACAACTTAACTCTTGTATTATTTTAATTGTGTTTAATAAACGCTAACTAAATAAATATATACAATTATTGGTTAGTATGAATAAAATAATATTTCTAGTACACCTCATAATATTCATTATTAGTGTAAGCAATCATCGCAATTAAAAATTAGTAATTACTGGAAAAATCTATTCAATGCATTTTAGAATCATATTTTTTTTTTTAATACGTTAGTTAAAATTTACCGGACTTCTTGTAAATATTTATTTAATTTTTAAATTTTGAAACTAGATGTTTTAATTTTAAAAATAATTCTCAAAAAATTATGATCGAACATGGTTCGCAAGCTAGGTACACGTATAATTAAAGATAACAAACCTTGGTGTGGCGTTCTAATATTTAAAATAAAGACGAAAATACAACTAAGTCTTTCTTCATATTATATCCAGTAAACTCGTTTTAAATTTATTATGCAATATGTGCTTTTAGTGTAGACAGTAGTCTATAATATTATATTATATGTTTGTTATTATCGTGAAAGGGTTACGTATTTACGTTTTATGCTACACAACGTGTTACTACATTTTATTTATTTTGTAAGAATATGTCGTATAACTATTGTAATTTATAATGCTTTAAATGAGGAACGTATTTGAATAAAACGCCGATAACCGTTATTAATTTGTTTAGATCTTCATACAAAAGTATAACGTCAAAATACCCATGACAATAAGTGATTGTACATTTCTGGAATTAGAACTCTGTACATCATTATTCATATTTATTTTTATTTTTTATACTGATGAGTAAATACTAAATACCTGTGTATCCCACAATGACAGTTATGTAAAATAGGCTTTACATATCTATTAGGTAACTATAATATACTAGAATGAAGATAGCAATAGTAATTATAAATAAAGACCAGATTTATATGCATTTTAAATTGTAAAATATGCATGCAAATATGCACTAAAAAAAGTCAAAATATGCAAGGAAAAAATGCAAAACATGCAAAATAAAATTTCAATTTTTATTCAATTTTATATTTGATTTTAATCTTGCAGTGATAATTATTTATTAATTTTATTACATTTTTCATAAACAAAAAGTATCATGTATAATATAGTACAAAAATATAATTTTTTGTTAAATTGTAATTTAATTTTTGAACATTGATATATTGTAAAAAATATTTTATTAAAATTAAATAGTAGATACATTGATAATATACTGATATAGTGATATATATATATATATATAGGAAAAAGTACGAACAATTTTATTGAAGGTAGTAAATTATTAATTTGAAAAACAATAAGTTATCAAAGTAGGTATGTTCCATGTTTATTTCCGTGAAATTATGGTGGCAATCTGTAAGAATGTACTTGTATGATGAGAAACTGCGTTCAACATCCAATGATCTGTGTTTTTATTTGTATATTTGTACGGTTTTTGTTAAAATATGAAAAAATATGCAGACATGCATTAACGTCAGAATATGCAAAAATATGCAGTATAAAATTTTGATATTTAATCAATCAAGTAATGATTTCTGGACACTCATTGACTGCATGTATATGATGTTTAAAATAGCAACATGCATTTTATGCAAAATCCGGTCTTTGATTATAAATAATAGCATTATAATTTAAAATATTAAAACTGTGACAGTTTACAATTAAATTAAATATTTTAAATCGATTTGAAAAGTATATATTATATTGAAACGTATTTGTTCTTTATATTATGAGCTTCGTGACTCGTCTACTATTTACTAAATTACATTTATGACTGTGCTGTAGCTACGGTGAGGATTTAGGTGGTTCAACCCCCCCCCCACCACCACCCACTTTAACAAAGTAGAAAATGTAAAAATTTCTAGTTTATTCTAAAATTTAAAATTTTTATTTTTAAATTGTTTTTATTTTTAAACTGAATAAATACTTATATAATACTACAGTAATTTTATAGTATAGTATCCAAGGTGCATTGATAGTGCCTGTCATAGGTTGTGAAAATTGATAAGAGTTTAACTAATAAAACAAAAAAGAAACAAATTAATTCCAATCATTGAATGCATTTTAATATGTGGTTACCAGGAAATTCTTTTAAGAGACAGTATGAAAGATATATGAACCATCCCCATACAAAATACCTAGCTACGGCCTTAGTTTATGGTACTTATTTTGCATTTAATTTGGTAATTGTTATTATTAAAAATCATGAACTTTGAAAACAGTATAATATTATTGTTATTATGTACATTATCATAATATTAGTCTTTATTAGTATACCTTATTGCTTAAATGCTGATTATCATTTTAATGTAGCAAATCAATTAAAATCTTTCAAACATTACGATTCAATTAAATGAAAAATATTTACTGAGCATAGAGTAAAAAATAACGATGACATCAAATTTTTTTTCAAATAAAAACACACTTTCAATGTGGGATTTAATATATAGACGTACTTTATGCATTTTTCATGTTCATATTAAATAGATATTATTTTAATTTTGATTTCACAGTTTCATTATGATTTGTATAACTTCGTTAAAAAAAATATGTATACACAAACACATTTCGATAAAGTTTCGAAATTAACAAATTTCCTGATAAAAAAAATTAATATTATGATTTACTAATAAAATTGAGTTTTTAAAGATACTTTGTTTATCAGACGTTCAGTGAATATTTTGATTAGATAGAAGTTATTAATTAATTAATTCTTAAAGAAAAACAATTATGTTCATAATATATGCAATATATACCAATACAATTAAATCATGCCTTAACACCTTAGTCTTATTGTCTCAATAGCCTATAATAACTTACTATTAAGAAATATCATAATACTGTACATAATGATATTATTCTATTTTATAGTTAAACATATTTTGTTATATGCTAATAATAAATAATAAATTTAATACAATAATATTACCTATATAGGTTTATACTCGTATCTAGGTATTTAATGTTAAGTTTATAGTGCATCATTATTTAATTTGCATCAAATGTGTTAATATTTGAAACATATTTATAAATTAGGTACCTACCTTCTTAAAAGGTTTTTGACGGATCGTAAAATTCATAGAATGTTGAATGTTTTTTCAAATAGCTATATCAATATAAATATATGTAATCGTCAATCGGTTATAATATGAATTATATGTAGGTATCTAGTTAAGGAGTTGAAAATAAAAAATAAATTKTATCACAAAAGAAGATCAACTACCTACTTGAGAGTTATTCTCATTAATATTAATGTAATTTATAATTATATTATGGCCGTTAAATTATATTTAACGTTATTTATTCACGTTATTTTAAACAAACATATTTATCGAGCTATCTAATATCACCTATATCAAACACAAAGACCTTGTTACAATACGTATATCTATCATTGCAGACGCACAAACATATGTTATAATGAAAAAAGGACACCCCATACACGATTTTTCAGTCGTATATTTTTGGTCCTGCTAACATCCATGTCAAGGTTCACACAATACGTTCGATGATATCACATTATAGGTTATTTTTGTCTATTGTCTTGTGAATAATGGATAGTTTGTGGGGGCATAACACGTTTACGTTCGAGAAACAATAATGCTGCAATAAGATGCACTTATTAATATTTTATATTGCATACTTGCCATGAATGATATTGGTATATTTATAGGCTATAACCATAGGCATGTGCACACGTGTAGCTTGTAGGGCTCTAGCCACACTGGAAATTTTTTTCGAAAAATTTTCCAAAATAAGACTATCTCCTAATGTATTTTATATCCAACTACTAGAGTTTGGAAGTGTATATACATTAAAATACATTTTGATTTTTTATATATTTACTTTATACCTATAACACGATTTTGTTTCATCCGATGGGATAATTATTAGTTATTTTTTGTTTCGCCGATTCGTAAATATTGCGATCGCGATGTATTCGAACGATTTGATGGMCACAACAAATTGTGTTTATTTTTGTTTGTACCGCGGTTAACGACCC